GGGGTCTCGGTCCCCCGGTGGGCTGGTCGTGCCCTTTTTTCTGGAGTAGGACTGAAGGTTGCTCCCTGCAGGTCTGCGAGGCGTTGAGAAACCACTACGGACGGCGTGCTTCATACGTTGACGTGACAACTGGGAAGCGCACCAGGCAGTTATTTCCTCGTCGTTCAGTCTCCGCGGCAGCAAAAGTCCGCGGTTTGGAGACGTCTTTCCCAGAGCCTCTTCGGGTCCGGCGAGCCTCGAGCCAGTCAGTCCCGCGGCGTTTCCCGCTCTGCCCTTTCCAGCCACCACGCGGGGAACGGACACGTTTCTGCGGGTGGGTGGGTGGCAGCCTCACGTGTCGTGCCCGCACCTCCCTGTATTGCGCAGCCTGCCCTCGCGTCACCTGACCCGCCGCCGCGGGCAGCGGGGAAGGGCCCGGCGGGGCCCGGCGTCCCTGCGCTGGCCGGCAGCTGGGCGCGGAAGGAAACGTCCCCAGTTGATGTGGCCGAGCGGCAGGGAAATCACATACGTAACGCGTAAGGGCCAGTGTTACTCAGCGGGGTGATGCCTCTGGACATGGGGCTCGAGTTGCTGAAGAGACCAAGATCATTTACTGCAGAGCTAAGAAAGCAGTGCTGCCACGCAGTGTGGCATCCTGCTGAAACACTTTATAAAAAACTCAGATTTGTTTCCACTTGCTCCGGTTTTGCTATTCCATTACTGCTGTTTTACAAGCAATATTAGGCGTAACAGAAGCATTCCTGCCCTGTTAAAATTTCTGTGCTATGTGTTGCCACCTTGAGATTTCTTTTTTGTTGACTTCAGCTGAGTATCTGTACGTAGATTCGTAAGAACGTTGATAAGATCTAAACCGATAAAGAATTTATGCTGATGAACTTCATTAATAACCTGACTGATCAAAATGCACTACCTACTTGATAATCTAAGCATTGAAGGCTTAACTCTCAGTACGTTCCTGTGATGGGACATTCTGCTTCGAATGTGGCGATACTGACCTGAGGGTACATGGCACAAAAGCTGAGGAGGGCCCCAGATGTTGCTCAGAAGGCAGGTGGTCAAGAACTCACACACAGCAAAGGCCGTTGCTTTGAGAATACAGAGAGAAAGTGAGAGTTGCGGGTACAACAGGGGAACACGGAGCTGGGAAGTGACCAAGTGCAGCTTTTTGGCCGGCAGTCTGCCTGCAAGGCATCTGCGAGGCTTCGGGGCAATCAAACTGGCTATCTGGGTGCTTGCTGAATAGAGCACAAGGCTATGAAGTGTAAAAAGAGAACAGGGTTCACAGAGTGGACCCGCTCACATTTGCCCAGGGTGGGCGGGTTGAGAAGGAAAGATAACTGTCACGTGTGTGTTACAGAACAATACGCCAGTAACTTTTAACGAAGGCAAGCGCAACGATGCTGACGCAGTTTTCTCAGCCGGAGTTGTTGATGCCCGTGTGTTGTCATGCACTGAAGGCTGGTTGGGCTGGTTCCTGGACGAGGGTCTGCGCTGGTTTCCATGGGTCAATACAGTGAGAGACTGATTTTCAGGTGACTCTTCATGCAACGAGTAGTCAGTTTTATTTGCCGCAGCATCTTTCTTTGTCCCAGCTGCAAAATGCCTGTAAAGCATGTGTCAATGCCAGCGTCCTATATCAAAATCTTACCCAGTTTGTCAGAATACAAAGAAGCAGCTTGAGCACTGCTGGAGGTTTATTTTTTTCATTCTTCTTCCAAGTTATTTCTTCATCTTTTCTTCCAGTATGATACTGCCTGGTGTCTTAACTGAATTACTTGGGCCGTACCTGCAAAAAATGTCAGTATTTCAATGTCAGTGCCTTAAGACTTCTCACCAGAGGGCAAGAGATTCAGGACCTCAGCTTGGCTCCAGCCAGAGGCAGAATGAGGAGAAATGGCCAAGGATTAAAACAAGACGTGCAATGTGCTTAAGCAGTTGTGCTGAAGCATGCAAACTCAAACAGATAGATTTAAACCTGATTACTTACACACATTTAAACAAAGAGGGGGTCTCCAAACACTAGCTCAGCATATTCAGGTGAATAGAGGTACGCAGGCTGGCTGGTCAGAAAACACTTCAAAACAGTGTGAGGATGACTAATTCACAGCCTCTAGACAATTATACAGAATTAACTTGCAAGATGAAATTGCTGTTGATTATAGTGGGAGTGGAAATGTTAGTGTGCCAGATCCGTCATGCAATTACATGGTGTACGGTATGGTGTATATGCATACGGTTGTTATTGCCGTCTCAGAAGGATGTGAAGCATTTATGTACGTAAGCTTCTGTCTTTGGAAAAAAGAGGTTGGTACTTTTCTTCCCTCATCCTCCCCTCGATAAGATGATACTTGAACAGTTCTCAAAGTCTCTGAGGAAACACAGGAAAAGGTACTATTGCTTTGATTGATTTTTACTGCTTATCTTCAATGTTCTGTTATTTAAGTGTGTAGTACTTCACACGCACCTGAAGTTTTAGATGATCACGATTTCTACTGCATCTGTGTAAGAAAAGAGAGGAAAGGTGATTGACAGTTTTGGCAGCAAGCATTTTGGAGGGGAAAAACAGGAAGAAAAATAGCATAGGAAAGACCCAAGAAGAGAAAAAAAGATACGTAAGAAAAGTCCAAATGTTTGGCTAAAAAGGAAGGAATAGACTTGTATGGGGGGAAAAGCAGACAAGATTTGACAATTATCTTCAAGCAGGGGAGAGAACAGTCAAAACTGACCTTACCGTAGTGTTTGAGCCTTGGTGATGGAGAAGAGAGGTGGTGTTATCCACTGTAACAGAGGAAAAGAAACTGAAGAGCATGATTGTAGAACAGTAAAATCCGTTTTGGTCAAGCCAAATGTGAAAAGGTGGTGAATCAGCCAAGATTAAAGATCCGAGAACCTCTAAATGATGCATGATTAAATGGAGGAAAAAAGGACCAGCATGGATAAATATGACTGAAAGTTGTCAACAGTAAGAGGTAAATAAACCCTTGTGGACAGATGAAATCACTTAAGAACGCAGGTTTAGGGATGCAAGACTCCAGTGGCTATCCAAGGGCAGGATTCCTTGCCAGTTTCTGACTGATCCTTTTTTTTTTTTTTTTTTTCTCTTCAGAAGTGTGGGGACAGCTTGTGCTGAATTGCTTCTTTGGGAAGGTTTTACTCATCTTAATCACGGATGATCAAATGAGCAAACTCATAGGATGAGTAAAGGTTTTTTGATTTCAATTATAAAAAATGACGGCTGAGTAAAGAAACCCATTAAAGCATGTATCTTTATTAAATTCTAAAACATTCTAGTCATCAAGATTTACAATTACTTTACATTGTAAATTCTGTAAGGAGAAGCCGGAGACAATCAAGTAACAGGAAATGATTGTGTTCCTGTGTCTTCTCAAGAAAAGCAGAAAGCAATTCTTTGACGGGGAGTGACTACACATACCTATACATAGCTTTGACTTTTGAAGAAATATACTGACAGATGTGGCTGTTCTTTTAGAAACAATATTAAGATCCTGATGATAACTCTGTTACACTCTTGGGAGAAAAATTAAGTAGTTTCCAAGTTCCATTAAATATCTCACAAACTTGTATTCAGCTACAGTTTGAAACAGGTTTCAGCTTTCTTACTCTTTAGTGTTGACATCATTGCTGCACTTCTAGAAAACAAAGTAAACCTTTATCAGGCTAAAGTGCTTTCCATTGCTATAATAATGTTTCTTGTCCAGTGAAGTCATGGAGGAAAACAACTTCTTTATAGCCAGAAGTGTAAAGATTTTGCTCCTTTTCTTTGAAGGCAGGGCAGGGAAAAGAAAGAGATCTGTATAGAAGTATGTAAAATAGGCATGCTTCTCATTGAAGAAATTAATTTCATAAGCCCACTGACAAGTTGAGAGTCATGTGCAGATGTTACCTATTACACTCACATAGCTCTTTTTAACACACCTCTATCATCATAATGAATGATCAATTTCTATGTTACAATTATCTCCTTAGCTAAGCCTATAATGATGTTGGTACTTTATAGATTTGCTGAAACAGAAAAACACATCTAATGTTTTCCCTTGTGAATTTGGTGATCGGTTGCTGAAAAAAACCCTCTTCCTTAATCACAGTCCTACTGTGCCTAAACTTTTTATGTTTGTCAGGCAGACCCAGAAAGCTATGACACTGGCTTAAAGGCTGTACCTTCAAAAATAGTTTTGGCATTTTTTATTTGCTGGCTCTTTCAGAGTATACTTAGGTCAATTTTATGCATAAATTTAGAAATTTACCTTTTTAATTGATAGTCTCATAGGACTATTGGTTCCCAGAAACTCTGCTGTAAGTAGATCGGCAAGTATTATGTCGTAATAGCCTTTGCCTTCATGTACTATTTACCAGCACTAAAAGGAGAGAGATCTTTTTTGGTCCCCGATGCAGCTGAAGGTACTGGCTAAATCGTTGCCCTTGCACAAGTTCCTTTTGTCAAGAGTCAAACAATTAAACAGCCAGCTGAGAAACAATTGCACCAGGTCCTCCTCACACAGAGGGCAGTACTGGAAGCAGCAGGGATGTATAGCTGTAGTACCTAACAATGGCAGGACAACTGAATGGTCCTGGAAGGGACTGAGAAAAACACTAAGTTACACTGTGGCTTAATCAGACCTCAGTACTATCAAGACAAAGAATGAAATGATGACATGACATCTTCCACCCTTCTTACCTCCTGTAAAGAACAAGCATGGGATTAACTTGAGGACTAGGATGTAGTTTCTCACCATATTTTTGCTGACATAGAATCACAGAATCATAGAATAGTTTGGGTTGGAAGGGACCTCTAAAGGTCATCTAGTCCAAGCCCCCTGCCGTGGGCAGGGACATCTTCAACTAGAGCAGGTTGCTCAGAGCCCCGTCCAGCCTGACCTTGAATATGCTCTGATGACATGTAAGATAGTAGCATAGCACTTGTGCAAGCAATCAAATTGAAGTTTTATAACTACACTATTGCTTAACGAGGTTAGTTTTCTGTTCTGAGGTTGTTTTCCAGATAAGGAGTTTGTTCAACTCTAACCTGCAGAATGCATAAAACTGAAGTGGAAACAGGTGCCAATTGTGAAATATTTTCAGAGTGAGATTCTCCTCCATAGTTCATCCCCTTTGTGCTACCCTGGTCACACTGCAAGTCTGACCCTGGCTGTATTTGGTGAGCTGTGAGTGCCTCTTGAGGGATTCCCCTTGTCAGCCTATCGGAGGTGCAGCCTGGGACAGAACTGGGTCTGACTGGAGCGCGGCCGAGTTTTGCCGATTGTCAGAGGGTGGGAGCGTGTTGCCAGGTAGCATGAGATAGGGCTGGAGCCTCTGTGAACCTGCTCAGAGGCTGAGCTGTGGTAATGCAGGACAGAAGATGATACAGCCATAGCCAGCTTCCTTGTGGTCTGCCCCTTCTGCCTTGCCAAGCAAACCTCAGTACAGGACAGCGTGGCCCAGTTTGTTTTAAAAGATTATTCTGCACTGGATTTTGAATATATACAGGGAAACTGCTGCAAAATGTACTGAGCAAAAAAGCTCAGTAGGAATGTTTCAATGAGATTAAAACAATGCAACACTGATCTTCTGTTTAAAATGTCTTCCATACGTCTGTCTGGAAGCTTTTCTAAGGCATTTTGGAAGAAAATTTGCTTCCAGACTGATTTATAGATTTCTCAGTAATTAGTTCAACAGCAGTTCCCCTTTCTCAAAAGTAGTGTCCTGGTTTCAGCTGGGATGGAGTTTATTTTCTTCCTAGTAGCTGGTACAGTGCTGTGTTTTGGATTTAGGATGAGAACAATGTTGATAACACACCGATGTTTTAGTTGTTGCTAGGTAATGCTTACACTAGTCAAGGACTTTTCAGCTTCCCATGCTCTACCGACTGAGAAGGCTGGAGGTGCACAAGCAGCTGGGAGGGGGCACAGCCAAACTGGCCAGGACATTCCATACCATGTCACGTCATGCTCAGTACATAAACTAGAGAAAAGCAGGCCAGGCGGGCCGCTGCTCGGGGACTGGCTGGGCAT